ATATTTCTTCTCTGCCAACCTCAACACACTAGCTTCTTCCTTGAGCTTACTCAGTGCATGGCTACAAAATGGCTGCAACAAATCCAGGTATAATATCCTGGCACAATAATGATTAGAAGGAGGAGGTTGCCTTCTCTTCCTTGGGTCTCTCTTTAGAATGAAGGAAAGTGATTCCGGAAGCTTCTAGAAATTTTCTGTCACAGTTCATTGACCAGAATTGACATGATGATGCTTGAGCCAACCACTGCTAAAGGGATCAAGATCATCATGATTTGTTTAAACCAATAGTGGCTTTACCTGGAGGCATAGGAGGGAGGGGTGTATACTGGAACAAAATGAGGGTTCTTTCAGCAGGGAAAACGGATAAATGTTGGGAAACAAACCACCAGTGTCAGCTACACCCTTATTATGGACAGAATTGTTTTATACTGAATTTCAGGGAGGTTAACCTACTTAAATAAGGTTCCACAGTTGATAAAAACAGAAGTAGGGTTCAAATCCATACACCAAAGCCCATCCAGGTACTTTCTTCTGCGCATGTGGACCCAGAGTCAGACCACATATCCCTGGAAACAAAAGCCCCCTTTCTCATGGTGAGCACTTCAGGGGTTCAGGCAATCTCCCTGCTTTCCCTAGCCCGACCTTCAGCTGGGCATTTGATCTGTTTATTAAGTTATGACTCAATGGCGCTGCAAGACATTCGGACCTAGTTTTAGATTGTCAGAGGAGGTTCAGGGGATGAACATCAGATTCCCATTCTGTGCCGAGAAAATTTGGTTGTGGCTCTTTCTCTTTCAGTGCCTGAGGATTGGCAAGGGGCTTCTGCTGGGTCCTGCTTTGTTTAATAGAAATGAAACCTCCAAAGCAGGAGGGCTGTTTTGGGAAAGTGGCCACTAATGGGGCCCCATGGGGCAGGGGCCAGGCCTGCACTGGGCAGTTTGCATATTCACTTTTACAAACAGTTGGCTCAGAGTCAGCAGTTAATGGAATGGGAATGATGTTCCTGTACCAAATCGTTTCCTGAAAAAAACATTTCCAATTGCAAACATATCTTGGCCTTTCTTCTTGGATTTGTTATGTCTCTGTGAGTGAATTAAAGAGGCAGGGCAGAGGGGAATGTTTCTGACTGGGGATTTTTCATCTGAAAACATTTTTAACAGTGATCTACGCAGAAAAAGAGATCCTGTTCAGATCCACCTTTAGGAGTCCTGGCTTCAAATATTGCGTTGCTAGTCACACTTTAGAGATGTTTCAATACCTCTCTATTTACAAATTGGCTCACTTTGGCTGTACAACAAGTCTTGGGACAGATGTGACTTTACTTCCCTTACAAAATGTAAGCTGGAAATGCTGCCCCAGAAATGTGCGTGCGTGCGCATGCACACGTGCACACACACAGGCTAAAATGTAAATGTATTTTGTTTTTCTGGGAAAAAGGTAAAATCCTTTGCGTCCCATACTCTGCTTTGGCAAATTCTGTCGCAACTCATAACCTGTGTAGTTGAAGGGTAGTCTTGACAGTTTGAATTATGTATTCAACAAATATTTCTTGAGTGCTTACAATGCTTGAGATGTTGTTTTAAGTAGTAATAATAGCTGCATATATTTACCTAGCTCTTACCATCTGCCACGCATGCTTCTGGGTACTTTGCATATATTAACTCATTTAATCTTCTCAGCAACCCTTGGAGGTCTGCAATATTGCTGTCACTCCCATTTTGCAGATGAGAAATCTAAGGCATGAGAGGTTGAGGAACTTGCCCAAGGCCACAGAGCTGGTGGATGGTAGAGTCTGGATGTGAACGTAGGCAGCCTGGCTTCTAACCACTGTACCCTCTGGCCTCATCGAGGATCTAATAGTGAACAAAAGAGAAATAGTGCCAGTCCTTACAAAACTTACATTCTGGTGGAGGAGAGTTAACAGACATATACATTATTATTTCAGATCATGATGAGAAAATAAAACATGAGAGAGAGGTGGGGGGCGCTAATCAGAGTCTGATAGAATAAAATCTCAACTCCTGCCTATGACCTGAGTATGATGGGACGTCACAAGAAAGCTTGAAGTGGGAGAATGTGTGATCCTATTTACATTTTTATAGAACATTCTGGCTGCACTGTGGGAAGTAGGTGAGAGTTGGGGAAATGCAAGCAAAGCAGTAGAGCCGTCAGAAGGTGGTTCTGATAGACCAGGCGAAAGATAACGGTGACTCAAGTCAGGATGGTGGAGTGGGGAGATGGTGAGAAGTGGGGAATTGGGTCCTGGTTTGGAGGCGGAGCCCACAAAACTTGCCAGTGTTTTGGACGGATGTAAAAAGTGAGGAAAATGAGAACTTAAGAGCGATTCCTCGGAGCTTGGCGTGAACCATGGTGTAAATAGTGGTGCCATCTACTGAGGAGGATAAGAATCAAGAACGTTCATTTTAGTGCTGGTATGGTGGGTATGAGGGTGTTGAGAATCACAAGTTCTGTCTGGATGTGTACATTTGAGATCTCTACAAATAGAATTAAGAGGATACATTGAATAAGCAATTAGATTCATAAGCTTGGAGCTCAGAGTCAGACCCGGGTTGGAGATTTAAATGTGGACATGGACATTAGTTGAATGGGATGACCTAGGACAACCTTATCCACTTAATCTCTTTAAAAACTTTTATTTTTTAACTTTAAGTTCAGGGGTACATGTTTGTTACATAGGCAAACTTGTGTCCCGGGGGTTTGTTGTATGGATTATTTTCCCATCAACTATAGACTGGATAAAGAAAATGTGGTACATATACACCATGGAGCACTATGCAGCCATGAAAAAAAAAGAACAGGATCATGTGTTTTGCAGGGACATGGATGGAGCTGGAGGCCATTATCCTTAGCAAACTAACACAGGAGCAGAAAATCAAATATGGCATATCCTCACTTAAATCATGAGAACACACTTGACGACCTTGTGATGGAAACTTTCTACATCCATGCTGTCCAGTATTGTAGGTACCAGCCACCTGTAGCCATTGAGTGCTTGAAATGTAGGTGGTGCCGCTAAGGAGCGGAATTTTTAATTCATTGAAATTTAAATAGCTCAAGTGGCTAGTAGCTACTGTATTGGACAGTGCAGATCAGTGTAGCTATAGGAGAGAAATTCCCAGGCAGGAGCAAGTTCTTTCACTGGCCAGTAAGCCTAGCCTTGCAGCCACGTTTAAACATGACTTTATTTCCACTGCTTACTGCATGCACAGCAATGCTTGTTAACAAAGTAATGAAAACGGTGCTTCTTTGTGAGAAATAGCCTGGGAAAGAAAGGAAATTCGTAGTTCTAGGGGAGATATTAGAAGAAACTATAGAAGTCTAAGGAAGCAGTTGTGCTTAACTGGAAAACAAACACAATCTGTACCTACAGAATCATTTCTTTTGGCTTCTCTGGGCCACATTGGAAGGAGGATTGTCTTAGGCCACACATAAAATACACTAAACACTAATGATAGCTGATGAACTATTAAAAAAAAAACCTCCAGATAATCTCATAATGTTTTAAGAAAGTTTATGAATTTGCGTCAGGCTGCATTTAAAGCCATCCTGGGCCACATTGCAGCCCGTGAGCTGTGGGTTGGACAAGTTTGATTTAAGCTTTGAAGGTACCCCTTCTGTGTTTCTGTCATGTTTTATGGAGAATTCTATGAAATGGTAGGTGTCTATGAATGTGGAGATTCAAGGTGGTGACTGGCTGGTACCCTATGTGAATGTCAAAGGCCCGCTGCAAAGGTACTAAATACCAGCCTCGCCATGCAAGTTGTGTCTCTTAGGGCGTAGAGTGTTTCACTCCCTTTGTTCCTCATTCTCCTTTCAGTCCAGCTGCAGCTATCAGTGCGTGTACTGATGTGAAAGAACTCTTTGTAAGTGGCTGCCTTGTGCTTAGAATTTCTTGCAAGTCTATGCTGGCAGTTGGTGAGGCCAGAGTCAATAAAAAAAAATAAAATGGAAAGATGGGACGTTGCTTTTATTAAGGTTGATTGCAGCTGCTGTATTAGCTCTTTAAGAACCTCTTGGTGACCAATGCCTCTGAGAAAATGGCCTTTCTGTGCTTAATTGGCGAAAAGCAAGGGGATTTAAGTCACTGCTTTTAGGAGGGGTAATCCAAGGTCAGCACTCACCAAATGTCTGTCACACAACTGGTTTTGTGGGAGGAATTTTTCTGTACTAAGGTTCCATATGGGGGCTGGGCACTTGGAGGAGCGTGGGCTGGTAATCTTTGGTAGTTTTTACCTGTTTTTGTTTTTCTTTCTGAGGAAGGTAGAATTATAGATTTCTAGGATTCAAAGACTGTAAAAGTTTACTGTTCATCCAGTCAAACTCTTATTTTCAGCTGAGGAAGTGGGCCAAGAGAGATGAAGTGCCTGGCCCCAGGTCCCACAGCTGGTTCCATCTCAAGGGACAGGACCAGAGCTCAGGGGAGGGCCAGGACTGAGGTATTTTTGAGCGGTGGCTGGGGTTGGATGGAGGTGGGAAGGCAGATAATCAGGAGAGTACCTCAGGGAAGCCAGGAGAGGTGAGAAGTCAGAGGAGGGTGGAAGTGAGGATGGAAATGCTTTACAACGTACATATAGCCTCAAACCCATGACCCCGTTCATCCTGTCAGCAAACAGTCACTGGGCACCAGACAGGAAGAAGGGACAAGCAGGAGGCAGAGACTCAGAAAGAAGCCAGCGCCCACCTCACTTCCATTTATTCCGAAATCTTTTCTGAGAGGAGGGAGATTTCTGTGCTTTTGAGACCTCACTGCTTCCCTGAGGAAGGCAAGTGAAGTGACAGCTGGCAGAGGTGAGATTAAGGGGACAATTAGGTCCTTTCAGCCAGGCGACGCCATGAATTGATCGTAGGCTGAGTAACAGCTGTAATCTACCCTTAGTGGGTTTTTTTCTCAATGTCAATATCTAACACCCTTGTTAAAGAGTTCCGACCCCCTGCCGTCTGTCAGCTGAAATGTGACCCTGCTCTTCCTTTTCTTCCAGTGTCCGAGCTGCAGGAGGAGGGAATGAACGCCATTAACCTGCCCCTCAGCCCGATTCCCTTCGAGCTGGACCCCGAGGACACGATGCTGGGTAACTGTGCTCTTGTCTCTGAATTCGCTTAAGCTTTCTCGTGCCAGCACCCCCACTGAATTCCTTTTCTTTTTAAAGAGGAGAATGAGGTGCGAACAATGGTGGATCCAAACTCACGCAGTGACCCCAAGCTTCAAGAACTGATGAAGGTAAGAAGAAATCAGGAGCGGCTTCAGGTGCCTCACAGACCCACCAGGTGTCCATATGCCACCTGCTCTGTGCAGGCACCCCACGAGCCCCTCCGTGAAGGTAGAAAGTCATGGCAGCCCCTGCCTCAGGCAGTGGGTGGTCTAGGAGATGGCCATCGAAAACGTAACCAATTATGTAAGCGTGGGACGTGACAAATGCCCAGTGAGTGGTGCTGGTCACAGCACCAGACAGTTCAGTACAGGTAAGCTCACGATGGCCAGCATTCCAGAGTGCACAAAATGCTTATTTTCTCAAGGACTTTCAAAAGCAGGCAGTAAAGTAGGAATTAGTCTCATCCCTGTTTTCCAGATGACAAAACCAAGTCTCAGAAAAGCCAAAAGGTTTGTTTATGGTCATAAACAAGGAGACGGAATTCAAGCAGAGATGAAGGAGGTGAAGTGACATATTGTGCATAATGTACCTGCGCAGTGGCTGGTGTGTGCTTGTCCTTCCAAAACTGTTTGTTTCTCACCTGCATCTTATTCCCTGTCCTATGTTCCTCCTCTTCAGCTTAACCAGGCTGCACTTAAGACAAAAGGCACTCACACCTGTCATCCCAGCACTCTGCAGAGGCCAAGGCGGGTGGATCACTTGAGCTCAGGAGTTTGAGACCAGCCCGGGCAACGTGGTGAAACACCATCTCTACTAAAAATACAAAAATTAGCAAAGTGTGGTGCCGCATGCCTGTAGTCCCAGCTACTCAGGAGGCTGAGGTGGGAGGATGGCTTGAATCTGGGAGGCAGAGGTTGCAGTGAGCTATGATCACGCCACTGCATTCCAGCCTGGCCCTGTCTCAAAAAAAAAAAAAAAAAAAGCACTGGATGTCAGAGTGATTCATTCCCCATGCAAATCTGAATACGCGGTTCCCCTGTGCAAGATCTGTCAGAGTTTCCTGTCCACCTCAGGTTGCAGTCCACTCCTAGAGGTGGTGTTTAGCGTCCTTGCTCTAGCTGCCTCTTCAAACCTCAGATTAACCACTACCCGGCAACACAGGGATGCCAGAACTGCTCCTCCCAGCAGCCCATGCGTGCTCCCAAAACTCCCCACTGCCAAAGCCTGGCTAATGCAGTCCACTCTGACTACAATGCCTCTCATGCCCTTCATCTGAAAGTCTCAGCACGGCTACTTGCTCCAGGAAGCTTGCTCTGAACTCTAGTGCCATGGCTCAGCCCCTCCATGGCTGCTATGGCCCTGTCCTTAGTTCTGTTGTCGTCTCCACGTAATATTATAGCAGACTTCTCTGTCTCTTTCACTAAATGGTGAACTTTTTGGGGTTAGAAACTGTCTTTTTTTTCTATCATTGTACCCCAAGGACCCAGCGCAGAATATCACATATAGCAGGTATTTAATAAACATTGGAGGATGGATGGAGGAAAGGAAGGAGGAGGAAGGGTGGGTGGATGAATGGGTAGGAATTTCAAAGTCAGCCAGGAGTATTCAGAAGTAAAATCAAACCCATGTGAGGGTTGGGCCATCTCACTAGGGACTAGAGGACTGAGGGCAGTCATCTCAGAGGAGATGTATAAATGTCCCTTCTGTCTGCTGAAGGGAGTCTGTGCCCTGAGTCTGTGCCCTGACCCCAGAGTTCAAGAGAAAGGAGGCAGCCTTGGCTAGGCCGCCATGCAGCCTCTTACTCCCCTGGATCACAACCAGAGCCCCACAGGCAGTTGAGCTATGCACGTTGGGTATCTGACCTTTCCTGATGCAGTCTGTGCTGCACCCACAGGTGACTGCCCTTGCCCAGTGAGACCCTAAGCCCTCGCCTTGCTGTGCAGGAAGAAGATGGAACAGTTGAGGTGCAGGCTCTGCCTGCTGCTGCACCTCTCCGGGGTGCTGGGCCTGTATGGGCAAGGGTAGGGGGAAAGGGTCTAGCCCTGGGCTTGCTCCTATCAGAGGGCATTCACCATGCTAGAATGGGTAAGCTGCTGCTTGCTCAGGAGACCCCTGAGGGTAAGCACAAGGTCAGAATGGGCTCCAAATGGTTCAGTCTTCAGTGTTGATCTCCCAGACCTAAACCTGTACTCGGGCCCTGTTTGAGGGAGTGGAGGATTGGAGATGCACATAGGCATGAGCCCTGGAGTGCTGACCAAACACATGGATCACTTTATAGCTACCTCCGTACTTCCAGAGGGAGGTTCAATTTTCTAGATCTAGGCTGATTTGACCACCTTGAAATCCTACTCTTTCTGGTCAACTCCTAGTATTCTTTTAAGGGTCTCCTTAGGAGCTGGGCACAGTGGCATGTACCTGTAGTGCCAGCTACTTTCAGATGAAGGTTTGAGGACAGAAGTTCGAAGCTATAGTGGACTATGATTGTACCTGTGAATAGCCACTGCACTCCAGCCTAGGCAACATAGCAAGACCCTACCTCAAAAAAAAAAAAAAGTCTCCTCAAACACAAGGCTTTCTGGAAGCCTCCCCTCATTTCTGATCTCTCCTGCCCACTCCCAGCCTGTTGGGGCCTCTCCTCTACTCTCTCATAGCACCATGTCCTTCCCACCCTAGGATTTGAACCCTTTATGTTATAATCCTTTGGTTGACCGGTTTTCTGCCCCCATAAGCCTCTCCAAGACAGAGGTGGGGACTTAACTGGATACAGTGCAGTGCCTGGTATACAGTAGGTGTTACAGTTGCTATCTTCCTGTCTTGGGACAGTGGAACAATGTCCTGTAAAGCCTCCAGGCTCCAATATCAGCCCACCCAGGGATGGCAATGCTGTCTGGCTATTGCTGTGTTATAAAGGCAGCATATTTATGCTAAGGCAAAGACATCCAACACAAAGGATGATGTCCACTTATAAGAAATTGGAGAAATGTCAAAACTGTAGTGGTTCCCCCAGGCCTGTGGTCACGGAGGAAGATTGAGTACAAAGGGGCCTACGGAAGCATCTTACGGGGGAGGGAACTGTTCTGTATCTCAGTTGTGGTGGGGGTTAAACTACAGTGCACAATGACCAAAACTCATCACTGTATACTTAACTCTTTTTTTTTTTTTTTTTTTTTTTTTTTTGAGGTAGAGTCTCACTCTGTTGCCCAGGCTGGAGTGCAGTGGCACGATCTTGGCTTACTGCAGCCTCGACCTCCCTGTTCAAGCAATTCTCCTACCTCAGACACCCGAGTATCTGGGATTACAGGCACCTATCACCATGCCTGACTAATCTTTGTAGTTTTAGTAGAGACGGGGTTTCACCATGTTGGCCAGGCTGGTCTCAAACTCCTGACCTCAAGTGATCTGCCTGCCTCGACCTTACAAAGTGTTGGGGTTACCGGTGTGAACCACCTTTTCATGGCTATACACTGTGAATGTTGCTTGCCATTAGAGTAAGGAATAATAGGGGACATAGATATTAACAGGGACACTGGTGCCACCAGCACTAGCAGGATGTACATCTGAAAATTAAGAAGGCCAGTAGGGCTCACACTGGCAGCTACCTGTGCACACACTGGTGTGGATAGTTCTTCTGCTTTTGAAATCTGAAGTTCAGGGCACAATGGAACACTCCCATAATCTCAGCTACACAGGTGGCTGAGGCAGGAAGATCACTTGAGCCCAAGAGTTTGAGTCTAGCCTAGGCAACATAGTGAGACCCTATCTCAAATAAAATGAAACTTAAAATCTAAAGTTCATTTAGATTTTAATTGTTTAGGATAAGAAAGCTGGTCTGTAAGAAAATAAACCATAACTCTTTCTTATTATTGCTCGTTCCCTCTCTCTCTCTGTGTAGGTATTAATTGACTGGATTAATGATGTGTTGGTTGGAGAAAGAATCATTGTGAAAGACCTGGCTGAAGATTTATATGATGGACAAGTCCTGCAGAAGCTTTTCGGTAGGAGAGTTCAGTGCTGCAGTGGATGTGTGTTTAACTGCAGGTGGTTGGATCACCTACTTGTAGCTAGAAGGAGTTATTCTCAGTTTACAGTGGCTTACCTGGAAGTGGATTACAAATGTGTGGAACGTGGAATAAGAGCTCAGTGAAGGCTTTAGATGTCCTCTTGCAATGTTTTACATGAATGAATTGTAGAGGGAGTCTCCACGACCAGGTGGGCCTGCTCCTTCTAGCAGCCAAGGGTCATCAGCTAGATCAAGAGACCCCACTATATATTAATAGCTAGAAAGCACGCCTCCTTCTCTCCAGAAAAGCATGCCTGTGTGGCCTCTGTAGGTATATTTACATGCATGGGCGTGAGTATGCATTTTTAGACCTCTGTCACCTTCAGATGCATGTATGTGTTCCTCTGTCATCTGTGGACTTGTGCATGTGTGTGTGTTCCTCCCTGGGTCGCTTTGCAGCTGTTCATGTGAAAATGTAAGGACAAAGGGGAGAGAAAGGAGAATTCAGGGGTAATCTTAGTGTTGAAAGGACAAATTTCAGCTTGAATGGAGTTAAGGTGTCCTCCACTGCTCCTAATCTAACTCTGGCCCAAACCTTCCCCTCAGATTCTAGACTTCAATCCTTAACTGCCCTCTGGGCACCTCTACCTGAATCTACCTTAGACTGAATTCATCCACTTTTCTAAAGCTGTTTCTTCCCCTGAGTTCATAGAATCCCCTCCCTTCCTCCTCTGCCCCCATGTATACAGGGATCAGCAAGACCCATTTCTACCTCTCCTGAATACATCCTCTGCCGTTTTCACTTCTCTGAACTATTGAAAAAACTTCCAGACTCACTTCTTTGCTTCCCATCTCACCTCCTCCACCTATTCCCTACGCAGCTAGCAGAGGAAACTTTTAAAATCCCAAGTCCAGTCTTGCAGTACTTATTTATAACTCTCAGTGGCTCTCTCCTGCTGGACAAAGTCCAAACCCCTTGTCACAACATTCAAAGCATTCCATCATCCGATGACCCCCAGCTGTCTCCTCGGCCTCACCTCCGGCCACTCCCACACATGTGGCTCATCCATGTGGTAATGCGTGTAAAGTGCTTAGGATAGTGCCTGACACATAGCAGATGCTCGATAAATGTCATCATTGGTTTTACTATTTTTTTGTATACCATTGCTGCATTTTTACATATGCCACACATATTAACATGCCTATACTTTTGCTCATACTAGTCCTTCTGCCTCTAAGGCCTGCCTTCCTCCTTTACCCACCAGGGCAAACCATTATTGCTCATCCTTCTGATCTCTAGAATTAATCAAATGTGCCTCCCTATTACAGCCTTTACAGTACTGTCACTTTTTTTTTTTTTTTTTTTTGAGGCAGGTTCTCGCTGTCACCCAGGCTGGAATGCAGTGGCATGATCTTGGCTCATTGCAGCCTTGACCTCCAGGGTTCAAGTGACCCTCCTGCCTCAGCCTCCTGAGTAGCTGGGACTACAGGGCATGCACCATCATGCCCAGCTAATTTTTGTGTTTTTTGTGGAGACAGGGTTTTGCCATGTTGCCCAGGCAGGTCTCAAACTCCTGGGCTCAAGCAACCTGCCTCAGCCTCCTGAAGTACTTACTGGGATTACAGTAGGGAGCCACCACGCCTGGCCCTATAGTCACATTTAGAAAAGGTAGTCATATACTCTTTTTTTTATGTTCCCCCCCTACACACACATATATGTATCTCTCTCTGAGGGACTATATATACACTTGCACATATATGCATATATGTGTGTAGATATATACAAATGTGTATATACATACCTGTATATACCTGTATTTATATTCATACAAATACAGATATATAAATACAGGTATATACCTGTGTATATACATACAAATGTGTATATACATACAAATGTGTATATACATACAAATGTGTATATACATACAAATGTGTATATACATACATGTGAGTATATATACATACTTAAGACTTTCCATGTCATCTGTGGCTGTTTAGGTAAATGTGCATAGGCTTCCCCAAGGCACGAGCCATGTCCTATGTATTTATTCAGGCTTCTCCAGCACCATCAGATTGTCTAGCACTTAATGTATATTGAGGCCAGCCACGGTGGCTCACGCCTATAATCCCCGTACGTTGGGAGGCCTAGGCAGGCAGATCACCTGAGGTCAAGAGTTCAAGACCAGCCTGGCCAACATGGTGAAACCCCATCTCTACTAAAAATACAAAAAGTAGCCGGGCGTGGTGGCAGGCGCCTGTAGTCCCAGCTACTTGGGAGGCTGAGTCAGGAGAATCGCTTGAACCTGGGAGGTGGAGGTTGCATAGAGCCGAGATCATGCCATTGCACTCTAGCATAGGGGACAGACCAAGACTCCCTCTCAAAAAAAAAAAAACAAAAAACTGTGTATTGAATGAATGAACGAATGAATGGCTAATGCAGTTTCTAGGAAGTTAAACTGATTTGGTTCTCAGACATCAGTATTAACGGGTGTTAATATTTAAGGGTGTATAAACTGCAACTGAATACAGAGAGGAAATGAAAAAGCTTTGGCACGTGAAGACATGGCTAAGCCGGGAACCTCACTACACATCTCTCCCAGTGACTACAGCTTTTAACTCCTCCAGCAGACATCTACTCAGGATCTGAAACTGCCAAAATGTTCTATGCTAGGCTGTCAGAGCAAGCAAGGTAGAACATGGCCACAGAGTAATGGAACATGGTCGTGAAGGAATCTTGCCTCCAGGAATGGTTACAAAACCATCCAGCGTCACATCTGTGCAACCCAAATCAGGCATTACATACAAGCAGATTAGATCATTTCAGATCTCACCCTTCATGCTGAAAAGGTGATTCACTATGGAGGTGATGCTTCTTTTGTGAACTTAAGTTTAGACCCTAATCTCAAAGGTCTAAGGCAGGGCATACACATTCAAAGCCTACAGGTAGGATAACCAGGTGGAGTGAGCCAGTGTGTAGTAAAAAAAAAATATATATATATATATATATACACACACACACACACACACACACATAAATATATACACACACACACACACACACACACACACATATATATATATATGCGCGTCAGGAGCTCCTGGGAGGGATCAGTCTGAAAGCAGAGATTAGGGCGAATGTTTTGGTTTGTTTTCTTTTTTTAATGACCCTGTGAGTGTAAAGGAGGCAGAGTTTCGAGTGAGCACTCTGACCTTACGTTCCCCTCTAGCTATTTTTCCTGTCACTGGTCATGTTAACCTCAATCACATTGTCAAGGTGGTATCATACTGCCAGATTTCTTCATTATAAAGTGACTGTTTTTCTCTTTTTAAGTAATTTATTTGGGGAGAGATACTTTGAGACTATGTAAATATCCTGTTCTCCTTAAACTTCTCCCTCTAGTTTTAGCATCCATTTAGAATGCATCTGCTGCAATTATTATGGTAGTGTTCTAGCAGAGATGGTCTCTTCTCTGTATTCCTTCTGCATTCATTAACTGGAATTCTAAAAGGAAGAGTTGTCATTTCTATTTATTTATATCACTGTGGACATATTTATTTTATACTTTGGGTTTAATACAGTACTACTTTATCGTTCACTTTTTTGCTCATTGGCTTCCAGTTTTGGCCATTGGGAGCTCTTTCAGGTTGCCTCCTGGACACTTTCAACAAGATGCCCATATGTGTATATATATATATTTTTTTTTGAGCATTTCCTTTGTTTCTCACATCATAAGATACTCCAAGACCATCTTATATTTTTCTTACTCCAGTCCTGAAATCAATCACTTTTCCAACAAGCCCTGATTTATTTTATTGGAGAATGGAATTTAGATATCAAGATTTGGGCATATTAGTGGATGTTTTTAACTTGTTGTCTGCAGCATAAATAACCAAACATCTGTACCTAGGTACAGTACCCTTACATGGTGGTGTTAACCAGGCATGATTGTTCCCAGAAATCCAGTTTCTAATCATACTGGGGCTTGAGCTTCCTTAATACTGAGTTGGTTGGGCAGCGAGCTGGCAGGGTCTGAGTTTGAGATTAGTAAAGTAACTATGAAACACTAGCACTTAGAAGATGATGGAAATGGCATAGGGGCCTCTGGTAGCCCAGGAGCACACACACTGACATCAAGAAAAGGATATAGGGCCAGGCATGGTGGTTCACATCTGTAATCCATGCACTTTGGGAGTCCGAGGTGGGTGGATCACCTGAGGTCAGGAGTTCAAGACCAGCCTGACCAACACAGTGAAACCCCGTCTCTTCTAAATACAATTAGCCAGGCATGGTGGTGCATCCTACTTGGGAGGCTGAGGCAGGAGAATCACTTGAACCCAGGAGGCAGAAGTTGCAGTGAGCCGAGATCATGCCATTGCACTCCAGCCTGGGCAACAAGAGCGAAACTGTCTCAAAAAAAAAAAAGAAAAAGAAAAAGAAAAGGACATGGAATCCAGGAAGCCATGTTGATTACATTGTGGAACAAAGACCCAGAACCTAGAGGCAGAAGTGTGTGAGAAGGTGTAGCAGTGTATTAGTCTGTTCTCACGCGGCTCATAAAGACATACCTGAGACTGGGTAATTTAAAAAGGAAAGAGGACCGGGTGCAGTGGCTCACGCCTGTAATCCCAACACTTTGGGAGGCCGAGGCAGGCGGATCACAAGGTCAGGAATTTGAGACCAGCCTGACCAACATGGTGAAACCCCGATCTCTACTAAAAATACAAAAATTAGCCAGGCATAGTAGCAGGCACCTGTAATCCCAGGTACTCAGGAGGCTGAGGCAGGAGAATCGCTTGAACCCAGGAGGCAGAGGTTGCAGTTAGCTGAGATCGCACCATTGCACCCCAACCTGGGTGACAGAGCAAGACTCCATCTCAAAAAAAAAAAAACAAAGAAAGAGGTTTAATTGACTCAGAGTTCCACGTGGCTGGTGAGGCCTCACAATCAAGGCTGAAGGCGAATGAAGAACAAAGTCACGTCTTACATGATGG